TGACCTGGTGATTTATTTAGCACTCACGTTTATTCTAATTACATTACCAGTTGCAGACCAAACAGCTCTGCAAGGTAATTAAAACCTTTTCACAGGGTTTCTTAACATTACATTTTGAAGGATTTTCCTCCCTGTCCTTGAAATGCTCTTGAAATGAGGGGATTTTATGGATTGTGGCTTCAGTCGGTGTGTCCAGCGTGAGGGAGGCAAGGGCAGTGTTGCAGTTATGCCGCAGTCTCAGAAATGGCCTCTTTTCTTTTTTTCTGTCTTTTAAAGGTTGCAGCTGCTCCCTGGTGGTTGCCAGTGAAAGGGGCCACTTGGAGGCATCCTGAAGGACCTGACTCCAACATATCAGATAGGTAGGAAAGTGCACCATAGCCACATACAGTACACTAGTTCCGAAGCCTAATTAAAGGTGTGGGCACAGGAAAACTACAATAATAGGGTTTTTCTCTCACACACTGTCTCCACTACACACTGCTCTCTTTTTATTCTGCATCTAACATACCTCTTAGCAACTGCTCTGGTGAGAGTGCTGAAGTTGCTAGGAAGTCACTGACCAAACAAATGTTAACATCTGATAAACAATTTGCATTCTCATTTTAGGGGGTTGAATTTAGTTCCCTGTTTGATTTACAAGAGTGCGAGTTCTGTTCTGACCTGAGGGATGTTGTATTGCTTACATGAATTCTTGCAGGGTTTTTGTTAGTGCATCTTGCCTTAGAGACAGTTATGATACACCAGCACCAATTAAATTGCATTCAAAGAGCTGAGGAAACCACTTTTTAAACCACCTCAAGCTGACTTTAAGAATTGGGAGGGGAGAGCCAATCATCTAAAAAAAAAAAGAGTCATTTGAAAGCAGAACAAAAACAAATTGAATCTTTTGAAAATAGTAAATACCTAAAAAAGTACTATGAGTTCCAGAACTGAAAGAAATATAAATCCCCTGTATGATCAGAACATTTGCCACCCGTAAGCATTACTCTCCGTTTTGTCAGATAACTGAGCAATAACAGTGCATTGTGTCACATTCATCTGGCTTCCTCTGTTACAGACTTAACCACCCTGTTTTGCATGTGTCCTGGAATGATGCCATGGCCTACTGCTCCTGGGCTAAGAAGCGCCTACCGACAGAAGCTGAATGGGAGTTTGCCTGTCGCGGAGGGCTGGAGAACAGGTACACTATTACAAACCGTCTGTTTGCATGGACATCATGGAGGGAGTGCCCTCTTCTCAATTGGATAGGGCGATTTTAGGGCATGGACTCTATGTACAAAGATGCCTATCAAAAGTACCAATCCTGGCACATAGGTAATAGTGTAACAAAACTCTGATTACAACCTGGAGCGATTGGAAACAGATTATTGTCTGGTATCTCGACCTTGTCTACGATGCAGTCCCAGACAGCGACATTTATGCAATATGCTAATATTTGTGGGTATGGCATTAACTGTGGCAGAACATGTTTTTTCTAATGGTCATTTTAATATGGAAATGCTAATATTTCCATAGGTTTCAAAGTCTTCCCCCTCTTTTTTTCGTGGCTTCTTCAAATCCGCACGGCACGAAGAGGCAGTCTAGTTTGATTTCCCTCTACAGCCTCGCAATATAGAAGCTTAATTAGTAAAACAAAATCCCCAAAAGTCATTCACTAGGTCTTTGTATCTGACTACAGTCAAGGAGATGACATAAATCTTGTTTCCACAAAGAAGCCTCGTATCACAAAGAGGGCTCTGTGTACTTTATATGTATGTAACTGTATACTAAATAGTAGGATTCTCCTGCAAGGCTGTTAGGTGGGGCATCTGAAATAGAAACCTGATTAAACTCATATTATAACAGCTAAGCACTTTCATCGGATAAACTGCTGCTTGGAGAGAACACTAAGAGATAAAACTTTTGTTCCAGTGTTGTGTTATTACATTGCAGTGGCTCAATAAATAATTTTCATTGGTCATACTGTACATCCCTGCTTTAAAGAGTGAATAAAAAAAAAACAATTGTATGTAAGTTCCAGTAAATCAGCGGGTCAAGAGATTTCCATTTTAAATTGGTTTGTCATTCTTCCACAGTGCCATGTCTGATTTTTTTTATTAGGCTCTTCTCAGATAAGCCCGATTAATGTCTCCTTTCCCTTATGCCAGTTTCCTTATTACTGCTCTCTATGTCTATTTGCATTTGGGCTGGAGGAAATGTGAAAACAGAACTGACAGGTGAAGCGAAACAAAATTGCCTATTGATAACCGTTTTGTAGTAAATGAAAGGTCAGCGCTCTGGAGACAGAAGAGCACTTTTTTAAAAAAAAAAGATGTAGCAGTGAGATGGATTTTCCATTTTCCAGAGATTAATTGAATCCTTATTACATAAGATTGCAAATTATTCTATTTTTAATTTTTATTTGCCAAAGTGCAACCCCCATTGTTTTATACCAACATCCAATGTCATAAACTTCCAATTCTACCTCAACCATTGAAGTTTCAGTACCACCAGATATACACTTAAATCCTCATTATTTTTCTGGCACCACGGATCTGGATTACATCAAAGGGAACCTTTCTGCACTACTCATAAAATCTAAGAAGGCTGGAGAGTCCTACCCCTTGTTGTTATCTTGGTTAACAACAAAGAAAACAGCCTTACTGGTATTTATTTGAATGCTCGTGTTGATGTGATGAATTAGCTCTTCAGAATTTCTGTTTTTCTTTTTCTTTTCAGAAATAGGCTCTTTACTAAAGAGCCTCAACCCCTGGGGTACAAACTTAACTACACTAAAAATAACCGATAATAAAGCGGATAATTGCCTTAACGACCCCAAAGGCAATATAATTATTAAACCCTTTGTGCGCTGCTAAAATTAGTCACAGTTTTGACAATTCGTCTTCTACACCCCATCGTTTTCTTTCCTATTGTCTTTTTTTTTTGTTGCTTTTTTTGTAGACTGTACCCATGGGGAAATAAGCTACTTCCGAAGGGACAGCATTATGCCAACCTTTGGCAAGGTGAATTCCCAGTTCACAACACAGGGGAAGACGGATACGTCAAAACTTCACCGGTGAGCGCGCATGCTAAAAGACTCTGCTTTGCTTTTTAGGGTTCCTTAAATCCGAAGATCCCAGAATAGTGGGAAATGAGCTCTTGAAGATGAGGGAGTCTTAGCAGCAATGTCTGCCGATTTCGGAACACACAAGCGCTCACACACACAGTAGTATGATTTGTGCCCGAGCAGTGGTTTTAGAATTTGTTGAGGTGTTTCTTATAATAACAGCCAACATATTTGTAAAAGGTTGCTTAAAAAAAATTGGAAAGGTTTGATGATAGTGTGCAGATTTACGATAATAAATGAGTACAAGTTGAGATCCGACGATGAAAAGAGGAATGAAGAGGTGATATTACATGGATTCACATGGATCCGGTTTCAGTATGTGTTTTAAAGAAGAACTATTAGGAAGTGGAATTTCTGAGAACACTTCTGAAATTAAAGTATTGGTTTGGGATTCTGTAGGAGATGTTAAAGAGTCATTTTGATGTTCTAACTAGTTAGAAAATCACACAACACTGAAAATGTGAGACATTTTCAGATGTATGCCATATACTGGATTTTGGATTTTTTCTGTGATTATTTATAAGTTTTTAACACCTTACACACAAACACATTTTCAATATAAATACATGTCTTTGAAATCTCTCATTTCTGATAACCTGTCTTGTACTGCTGTCAGGTACAGAAAAGATCCATTAAAACATCTGTGTGCTCAATTACCTTAAGCAAATGCTTCAAAGTGGTGGCTAAGAGCCTCTGTGGGATTGTGAAGACTGTGCCTTCTCATACAAATTTGTTTGCTGTTTTTTTTATCAGTTCTGAGCAGCACAGCATGCCTGTACAAACTACAAGTTATCTGCTTTCCAAATCCCTGTCTGTAGTTAAATCTATGCAGATTGCATTGCCTTTTGCCTGTCAAACTCCACCATGTCTGTAGTAATTATAATGCTTAAAACTACTTTACAAAACAGTGAACTCACACTGGTGCCAAAGAAGACTTGTTTGTGGTTTATATTGTTTTCAAATTACAAATAATTTTAAATTATTTGTAAAAAAAAAAGTTACAAATTATTAGAACAAATTATTTCAAATGTATTTTAATAGAAACAAGTCCATAGATTTTGTTAATTAAGTCAGTTAACTTATGCAAATTATACGTTAAAATATCAGGCATCAATACAATTAACATATTTCAGTTTTGTTTCTGGAACAAAAACTGGCACTTTCTTTATCATCAAAGGTCATTTGTTTCACAATGAACTTTGTGCATGTTTTTCAGCATAACTGTTATTTTTACTGCACCGGCAAATGTGAGTATATTACTGTGCAATAAACAAATGAGTCCTGACTCAGCAAGGAGAGCATATGGCAATGGCAAAACACAGATGGAAAAATCAGTGATTCCGGTTTTCACCGCATTACACTGGGAAAGCGTCCGTTACGTTTCCTGCAATTCGTGTCAAACTTAATGATGCGCGAGACCAAAAAGAGCTAAGTGAGAAATGGGAGAAATAATTGATGCATCACGAGCAAAGATCACTCCATTAATTGCAAAAGTCACAATTGTATAAAAAAAAACAATTCTGAGTGGGGTTTTCACCAGTGCTTACATTTCTCTGTCATCTTTTGTCACACAAAAGTATCTGAAATTGTTTTAGAATGGTGGTTCATATAAAGAAACAAACTGACACGGACAGGGCAGCCAAATATAGGATGAAATGTAGAAGCGATTCTCCACCATGCACTAAACCAAATGTATGATCTTCCTTCCATATACTGCAGGTGACCTCATTTCCTGCCAATGGGTATGGTCTGTACAACATTGTGGGGAATGCATGGGAATGGACTGCAGATTGGTGGAGTGTACACCACACCACTGATGAGGTTCACAACCCTGTAAGTATCACGCTTAAAATTTATTAGAACAACTAAGGGGGGGGTGATTTGATTTCATTGATCTAAACAAGTCCGGATTCATAGTCTTCTCCTCTCATTTGTAAGGCAAGAGGCATCATTGCTAAATAAGAATAGTGAAAGATTTTTCAGTGATTTAACTAATGCAGCACTTTATAATTTATTTGTATTTCTAGTCCCGTTCAGTGTGCAGATGCAGGTGTTAATGACACAAAGGAAAAAGTAGGAACTGGATTTAACGATTCCTTGAATATTAAGAATCTGAACATTACAAGTACAGAGCAAGCAGCAACAGCAATAGTGAAAGTGCTAACTGCAATCCTTTGGATTTAGATATTAAAAACAGAGGCAGGTTATAAATTATGAATGATAGATTAATGCTGAATTTTTAAAGAAATTAAAGAAATTCTTCAGATGCATTACCTCTGTTCTTTACATCTCGGTGCCATAAAGATTAAAAAGCAACTTGAATACAAACCAGCTTTACTAAATGCAACAAAGAGTACTAGTGGCACTAGTGTGATAAATTATGTTTCTTTCAGTCATGAAAGAATGAATTGCTTAACCAAGACATTTTCTTTTGCCACTTTCTCAGTTGTATTTCTCTCTCTCTCTCATCGGCCTGTTTCTGTTTTGTTTGTGGTTATAGCAGTGATTCAGGTAAACAGGAATGGAACATTAATATCTACAAGAAACTACAATTTTCACTTTGTGCTGGTTGTGGACTGAGGAGTAATTGGTCAATTTTCCCAGAAGCCAGTTAACCTAGCAGCAGGGTTGTCTACTGACTATGGGAGGAGACCATTGGATCCAGAGGAAACTCACGTAAACACAGGGAGAACATACAGACTCCACGCAGATAGCGCCACAGGTCCACAATTTACCCCCAGGGCCCCAGGCTGCGAGGCATCAATACTAACCACTGTGCCACCATGCCACCCTAGTATTATCATAAACATTTTAAATAATGCATTGGATGTTATCAAATTATAGATGATACTGTACATTGTGCTATATGCTTTGTAGGATGTTATCAGACTGCTGTCTTGCTTCCTCTTTGTCACTTGCTGTAGTCCTCATTTAAAAGGCCCCAGATCAAAAGCACACCACAGACATCTTTGTTCTCTTGTTTTTCATTGTCCCAAAATTATTTTTGGCAACAAGAAATACTGCAGCAATAAAAAGATAACTCTTCTTCTTTTTTTAGGGATATTAGTTTGCTTAGCTTTGTTTCCAACATAGACAAGTCCTTTTTAAGGCATAAAGAGACAGGGCTGTGGTGTGGCATGGTATACTCTTTCTCTCATTGGCTATCTTTCCTAATTTTATTAGAAGCTAAAGCACTCTGTTAATTTATTTAGTAAAATGGCACCTAGGTTCAAGATGAAAATAAGTCATATTAGGTAAATTGCTTCTTGAAAATACCTAGGTGTTATGGCACTCAAACTAATGAACTTCTGCATACACTTCTGATTCTACATTTTCAAAAGAAATTCTAGGAAAGATGTTTAATAAATGAAAAATAGCTATGCATTATAACCAAGTCAAACTTTTACACATTTAATTTCCGTGATGTACTTATGCACCCTATTTCTATTAAGAAATATTTCTTTAATAAGTATATCTAGATGTTCAAAGTATTTCTAAGGGTTTAATACAAGAAAATGCATGCACTTTTTTGGACACCTTTCATGAATAATAATTAATTCTGGGTATATTTATAGTAATGAAAGAGGGAATGGGTTTAAGTTTAATGTTACTTAAATGTGAAGCCACTGAAATTACTTGCACATTACACACCAAATTAGTACTACTGACACAGTTGGTATCCTAATTAGGCAAGACCATGCCAAATCACCAGATGGTTGCCAGGTGACCACTTCAAAATTCAATTCAGGTTATAAGATGAGGTTCATTAGGTCTGGATAATGAAAATAGCACTTTTCCTAGCTGAAGTAATTTACTAGTTTACTGTGAAGTGAAAAACAAATTGGGCTTAAAAAGGCACTTTAAACGTTTGATTACAAACTGCACAACAAAGTCTTCAACAATGTTATATTAAAACGGGGGTAAGCATTATCTTTTGTGATTTTGTTGTGTATTAAGCATTTCTCAATAATAAAACAATAGCACATATTGGCTTATTCTGAAGGTAAAGGAAATGTAGTCCATTGATACCTACTTGTTTATGTATCTGACCATTCATCAAATGTACCTGCCAGTTTTCAATATCTAGTGAACTCTAAAAGCTGAATTTAGATGCTTTATTTCATTTTATTGTAACTTTTTTCTTAAATCTTTCAGAGAAGATAGAAGTATAAAATATGTATTGATTGTTTTTAAGACTGGTTTAACACAACTCAGAGTCCTCTGTGACAGCCATACTGGGCATTCTCAACATTTGTTCAAGTCAACATTTAAAGGATCAGTCTTCAGGAGACTTCTCCGAGTTCCTGAAGTTAAGAGAGTCCTGGCCAGTTAATCACAGTCCTGTCCTAGTAATACTCTGTACATTGTTCACTGCCAATTGGTGAATCAATAGGTGACATAACTGAGGTTTGAACCTCAGTGTTTTGATTATAGAGAGGCACTTTGTCACTTAGGTTTGTCAAATCATCATGATTTTCAATTTAATGCTGACAGAAAGGTAAAGCTCAGGTCAGATAATGTTACTACAATCAAGCCTAATAAATTTGCATGAATTACAAAGGCGTCTATAAAAAGCAAAGTGATTTTTACAGACAGGTTGAGAAAACATGTACAGTAAAATGTACCCATCTGAAGCAGTTTTAAATAATTGAGAAAAACTCACTTAGAATAAAAATGGCTATCAGACTCGGTAGGAAAATCACACGTCAACCATCAGAACTGTTATACAAACTGCTCCAGCAACAGTGTGAGCAACTTCAGTTAGTTCCACGGATCTAAAGCTGCATCCTCACAATCCAATAGAGGGTGACTAAGAGCCATTTTTAATAACTGGACAAAAGCAATAACTTTAAACTTCACTATTGTGTTTTTTTCCAGGATGCTTTTGTTTTTTAAGTGTTAAAATTTTAGACACTTGTAATCCTTGCTATTGAAATCCATTTGTTTTCTGCCATAAAATACGTGAAATGTGCCAGAAGGTAACAGTGATCCAAAAGGTTCGTGGCTAATGAGAAGAAATTACAACCGGCACACAGTACTCCCCTTTCATAAGAATATCCATTTAGTACTACTGGTGCTATTTAACAGGGTTAATTTTGTAACCATTGAATGTTTGCAGCTTGTTTAATACAGACAGGTCTAAGACATTTTTCTAGGCTAAAACTTTGAACTAAATGGAAAGAGTACAGAATGTTCACAGTGGTTTTTTTAAACGAATTATGTTTTCCAACATTGTTTTGTACGGCACGAGTTTAATTAAACTAGAAACAAAACATGCACTGCCTGCCCTCATTTTAGACAATCTTGTCTACTGAGTAACATTCAGAAATATCTCAGATATCAATGATGACATCATTGAAGACAATAATGAAACTTTGTTTTGTGGGGACAAGATTGAAAAGTAGTAGTACAAACTCGCAATGTGTTTAAAAGGGGCAGAAGTTAAAAGAATGGAAGTTCTCCAGGGTATGAATGCTGTAGCTGAATCAGACATGAGTGATATTTGAGCCTTCTCTCTGATAGAAGCAGGAAGGCATAGGAAGTGGTCTGCCTTAAATGTCAGTCCTTTGTATTTTGTGGTTACCCAGAGAGCCAAAACAGTAGAGTTACATTTAGGTCCTTTGCCCAGTTAATCTGATCAAACCCTAGGCTCTCAATTGCTCAGCCTCTAACATTACTCAATTTTTAACATGCAGTGTAAACATTGAATAGCATAGTAGTATTTTGGGAAATCTGAAGAAGGCTCAACAGCCGAAAAACAGTGTTTCATCTTTATACTTTCCAGTGTGGAATTAACTTTTGGCTGTTCCAAAGAAGGTTGAGTTCGATATGCCCATTCGGCCTTTCCAAAGCATTAGGTTTGTTTAGCTTATTAAAAAGAAGTCGTCTTACTTAGGGCTGCTAAATAATTTTCAGCGATCAATATTAAACTACCTATTCCCTTTGAAGGAGAAAAGAAAATCAAGTAATTAAAGCATGTTTTTCTTAAACATAACTTCCTTTTTATGAGCAACACAATCTGTGGATTTCATGTACATAAAGTTACAAAGGATTGCCAGTGTCTTTTTTTAAAATAGAAAACATCTCCACTCTATCACTCTAAAATCATGGCTCTTTTGGAGTGAAAATGCCAGCTATTTCACACAGGCGGAAAACAATATTCTTTTGCGGCCGTAAAAAAAAATAAAATTCATAGCCCAATTTTTAAAAATATGATTGTTGACTTTATTTCAGAAAGGACCAACTACAGGAAAAGACAAAGTGAAGAAAGGAGGATCCTACATGTGTCACAAGGTAGATTTCTAAGCAGTCTCTACCTCAATAGATTATTAATATGTCAAAATGATAAACCTAGTGAGATGTGATTGAAAGAACAAGGTCTAGCTGATGGTGTTTTAGAACCATAAATATGTGTGTGTTTACTCCCCTTGCACTACTGAGCAATACTGAGTCAATTTTAACTTTATTGTTTGTTCATTGATTATTTTAAACCATTATTTCAGTGTGTGCATTTGAAATAACTGACATGGTACCAATATCCAAGATATCAGTACCATAAAAGTGTTTACAGACTAAATACATGTTTGGAGATATCCTGAGAGGTATTAAAAATTGAAACAAATTGCATTGATTGCATTTTTAATGCCTCTCAGGATACTGTATATTGCTGCTCTGCTTTTGAATTGCACAAATTAGCAGCACTATTCTAGCTTTTTAAAATGTGTTTTCCTTTGTGGGTATTACATTTAAAGGAACAAAGCCATGGTAGGGGAGAATGAATGTTGAATCACACTAAGAATTCTTTAAGAAACTCTTTTGATCTCTGAAATGTATTGTATTTTAATCCATTGATGCCTCGTATTGTTTCAAGACACACTATAATTCTTAATGGGCTCTCCAGTCTGTGATGTAACATTTTTTCTAGCTACATACCCAGATAATGAAACTGGCTTCCCATCAGTATAACAGTACACATCCATCTTCCTTTGAAAAGGTTCAATAATAACAATTTTAGTCTTTAGAGTTTGATGGACTACTAGAGAGCTGTGCATGCACTCCAAATGATTGCTTCTAATGCTAGTGCATAAAAGGCACCTGAACAGGTTCCAGTGACACTGAACTTGGACTGGATTTTCTTCAGTGAATTGGTACACATTCCCAGGAGCTCTGTTCCATTTTCATGAGAAAAAGACTGCAAGCTGTCTGACCCTCTTTTTTCCTGGTGCTGTATATTTTATTCATTAGAAAATATTTTCCCATCAATAAATCCTTATTAAGTGGGGGACAAAATGTACAGTATCTTTCAAGTTGTGTGTAGCCTGCAGCAGAGAAACACTAAGAAATATAATTTAAATGTGGTTCCTGACAATTTTATTTTACTAGAAGAGAGCTTTTTTTTAGAAGATTAGGATCTTGCAAGTGAGTTATTTTCTATTTTGAAATAAACAGGAGCTTCATCTCTATAAGGTTAATTTTGTGGTGCATGCTCAGGAATGCACCCTGAGCATTCCTAGCAGTTTTCATCCACGTCAAGCTGCTAGTTGCAGTGAGGGTCAAGGCAGAAGAACATTTTAATTAATAAGAAAATGAAAAAGGATGTAAAAACTTGAAAATGGTTACAAATAAAGAGTCTGGTCGCTCTAAACAGCCATATTTGTTTTTGTCCTGTGTTGAAAGAATCATCCCCAGGCTCTCCTTTATTTGTCTTGCCCCTTGTACTCTAACAGAACCCACTGTCAGCAGGTGTCCTTCTACAAGGACACATTTATCATAGCTCTTACACAAGTAAATATGGACATACTGAGCTCACAAAAATAGCAGCTCCAGTATATTTGTTTTTAGGTGAAGGCAAAGAGGCATTGTTTTCTTACAGCTCAAAATCTGTTTAACAAAAACTGTTAGCACAAATGTAGCTCAACCAGACCTACTGTAGCTAAAATAAGGTCTGTCAAAAGCTTTATTCATACACAGTGTTTATCTGTAATATTAGTAGTCAACAACGCTTCAAATCTTGGAAATAAAGTTTAAGTAGCAATAATCGAAAAATAAGGGAGAAAAATTCATTGTATTGTACTAGTGTTGTAGTGCGTTCTGTAACCCATCCTGCTATTTAAATTAAGCATCAGAATTTATGATTTACCTATATGAGGTTAGTCATAGAAGTCTTTGTATGTAATGAATTATTAAACTTTATCAGAAAAAAGTTAACAATAGGAACATAGTTGTCCAATCTAAGCTGAAGAGCCTCCAGCTGTTTTTTACCTTGTTGGGGTTCAATCTGTAATTGGAATAAAAGTGTACATACTATAATTTCAGAATTATGATTGATTATTATGAAATGCTCTAGTTTGTACATCTTCTGTTAATTTGAAAAAAAAACTTTGAATTCAAAAGGTACATTTCTTGATTCTGCCCTCCCCTTTTTTAAAAATTAACTAAGTTCCTCTAAAATATGTTTCTTTTGAGAAAACCAGTTTTCAATCCCTCAGAGTTTAACCTTGAGATGGACAGAAATAGCAGTTCTTATTGAAATTCAGATTGGTATCTGGGTCAGTGTAATCTGTTCTCTTTTTTTTTGGGGGGGGGGGTGAGGATGAGAAAATCTCTTGGTGCTCAGAAAGCCCAGGAAAGTACAGAAATAGAATGTAATATTCTTTTTTAATTCAGCAGAATCCATAATGACCAATGACAAACACAAGTTTTTTCAGCTTGTTAGCAAAGAAGTAACCCATGAGTTATGTTTATTTTGATTAAAAAATCATATTAACTGAGATATTACTGAGGTAATATAATTGGGGATTTCTTTAGTGGCAGTCTGTTTTGTCTAAAGGATATTTGAATTAATACCAAAAATTACTTGGGTATAGGCAGCTTTTGACATCATAAAATATACTGCTGAAAAGTTCCAAAACTTGAAATCATAATAAATAAAGAGTGTGTCTATTTCACCTGGCTAATTGTGTGCCCAAAAAGAACTGTCATATTCATCTGCTGATGGCTTCATTTCGCTCCTCTGTGAGACTTGAGTCGCAATTGGGCATATGAGCTTCCTGGTATAGATGACATTATTATGTCTATAATCTCCACATCTCTTCAGAATCTGACTTTTCTCTTTTTGTTTCTCATTTTGAGCTCTTTCTAGGCCATAAACGTGAAATAATGAGCAGGAATTGAGCACCCTGTGAGGTGACAGAAGGGTTGCTAGGTGACTGTCCTGGGAGTCTCATTTGCTAAACAATGTACAGAGGGCTCTTCCTCCCAGCTGACAGCTCCTAACGGCCCATTACTTATTCAGCCTGGTTGCTATGGTAAAAGGGCAAGCTTATTCATAAATAACACAAATTCTAAAATGGTTCAGTTTGCATTGATCTTAAATATTGATACTATAAATTCAGTAGGTTTTTAATATGTGGAAATGATTCCAAAAATAGGGCAGGTTTTGAAAATGGAGTCTGTGAGCAAATTCATAAGAAAGTTTGGGAGAGGAGTAGTTGTGGATAGTTTCATAAAAACAAAGCTTGTCAGTAACACCTTTTCTATCAAACAGCCCTTGAGGAAGGGCGTTTCTTCTTTTCTGTTTCATAATTTCACTGGTATACTGTTGTCAGGAAAAAACTTTATGTACTGGTAGTTGTATGTTTGTAAATGGATAAAAAGTACAGTGTCTTAAAACGTGTGTGAAGATTATATTGAGCCTTGTCCTACTTATTGCTGTATTTGGGATTGGAATGAAATATTCTAAGTGGCATTAAAAAGACAACAAATACTATTTGTTCTAATACTCATTAGTTGTATTTTTAATGCCACAATATAGAAAGAGTTTTTCAAAAATGAATATCTATTAATTAGAGTTAGAGGCCACTTGGAATGTAAACCTGCTTAGTTGTATAGTTTTGCTTTTACTTAATGGCATGAGAAATTGATAATGTTAATGAATAGCAAAAGTTTTCTCAGATTAAAGAAATGTACATAATATAGTGCTTAGTAAGTGAATAATGAGCATGAAATTTGTTCCAATAACTGATTTCTAGATCATTTTTGAGATTATCAGATGAAGGCACACCGCAATATTATATAATATGATCCATGCTATGGAATAAAATGCCTGGACTTCATTATATCGTTTTAACACATCTGACAAAGCCTCTTTGTGAGCACTATCAAACCTTCCAATTGTTTACACATAAAGTATAAACTGCACATTGCATGCTTTTGCATTGCATGCACTGAGTGTTGGCAGGTTTGTGTGCATTACGAGTATGTCCCATGTTCTCCTAACAGAAAGCATTGTCTTTGTTTTCAGTCCTATTGTTACAGATACCGATGTGCTGCTCGTAGCCAGAACACCCCTGACAGTTCTGCCTCCAACTTGGGCTTTCGCTGTGCCTCAGAGAAGCTTCCATGAGGAGAAGTGGAGACATGACTCTCTCGGGGAATCACACTGCCTTGCTGTGCTACACGGGCTAAGAAGAGGCAAGAACCCTAAATATAAAACACAAGAATAATGTAGAGCACCTTTCATAATGGGTATCCTGGGGAGCATCAATGCATGAGATGGACCTTCAATCCACAGAAGATTTCTATGTGGAAAGGAATAACTTTATGGTTATCCTAACTAACAGTTGAAACAATCTAATCACACTTGGGTCCACAGCTCCAGTGCAAGGACATTTTGTCCACTGGGGTGTATTTGTGACCAAATGTATGTATGGATCTATAGCCAAGCAGAAATGCTTATAAAGGTGGGCAGAGGGGATCTTTTCACACTGTGGATGGCTCTCTGGATTTAATGTGAGCAACGCAGATAAGCCACCCTCATCATACTGGACAAGACTATACTGCAGAAGTCAAAACAATGCCAGTGTGTATTTTCAGGATTGCCTTTAAAGCATTTTGCAAAATTTCCTGAAAAATCTTCTTTCTGCAAATAAATTATTTATTTTCCTTGTCCTTCTTTCTTGCTTGACTTGTGCCTCGAGTTTCAAAACTCTCCGAAAATAATATGATCGTGTAGTTCTTCATACAAAAATGTCTTTACAGCCTTTGTTCAGTATTTATTTTTCCTCTATCTCTTTCTGTTCTGTGAAAGTTTCATTGTATTTACATAGCGAAAATATATAGCAGTCTTCATGTGTCATCTAAGGCAGTGGTCTCCAGCTTTTGGTCTCAATCCAGTATATTTTATTGGTCACTCTACATCACTTACTCTACTTAAAGATTAGTAGAGCTTGCATATTAACGATTAAGCAGGTAGCTCAATTAAATTATTTATTTTCATTGAGGATTGAAGATTGTTGTAGATGATAATGACGTGACTTAAGAGCATTCCTTGGAAGATTAGTTTATGCAGGACATTTTTTAACATGACTGTGCCGATACGTGTTCCTCAGCTGATGATCAGAGCAGATGTCCCCAAAAATACAAATTTCTACACATTTCTGTTTTAGGAACTTCATTTGCAATGAAAGAGTCTTACAATTATATGGATAATTTTGCATTTTGGAGACCTTCCTATATTTTGGTACTAAATGTGGAACCATTTTGTGATAAGGGTAATAATACTGAATACAGGTTGAGAGATGTAATTAATTTTTGGACCTCAAAAGCATATTGTGTCTGTGTAAACCTTTAATTCCATTAAATAATGATGTCCAGAAATTACACACAAATGTAGTTATTTTGTGTTCCACTAATGGCTGTTTGGTGGTAAGGGATATTTTTCCTCTTATTGTGAAATATTATGTAGCCTCCTGAAATGTTAGTTTGTGTGGGTGGGTGACAATGCCTTTTGTCACCTGATGGGGGTGCTCCTGGAGAGCATCTTTAAGGATAGGGGACAAATAACTGGCTGTGAATTTTTCTGGCCTGAATTCAAGCTCTCTCCATAAAGGTTTTCCTTGGATATTACATTTAGTGGAAACTAATTAAATAGTCTATGCCACATGTTTAATAAACCCTGTGGAGGGAGATGCAAGTAATTAGTGTAAATCCAACAAGCTGTTGTTCATAGATCTATGAAATGTATTATTTCTGTGGTGGTGTTCTCATTTTCCAAGCTTCTGAAGAGTGACATCAACATGTGAGGTTTCAGAGTAATTAAACCTGAACAAATGTATTGTTGTCAAAGAACATTTTGTTTATTAAGTGGTATGAGTTTCTTTTTTGTTGCTGTTGTACTCTCCCGGTTGTTAAATTAAGCACAGTTAGGTTAAGAATGAAGACCTCCCATACAAAAGGAAATGGGTCTCTGGCAGTGAAGGTAAAGCCTGTGGAAGTAATAATGGTCCACTGGTGTTTTTAAGAGCATTCAAATAATAATACGATAATTGGAATCCTCACCAAAGTGAAATGCCACTTAGTCTGAAAGCTGATTGTTTTTTATGAATAATCATGGGAAAAGTGCCAAGAGTGCCTTTTTATCCATCCATTTTCGAACCGCTTTATCCATTTTAGGGCTGTGAGACAGTCTTACCCAGCTAACAACGGGCACAAGACAGGATACACCCTGAAGGGGACACCAGTCCATCACATTGCACACATAGAGACACACACACTTACACCTGAGCCTGTTTTCCCACAAGCCAATGAACATACCAGTATGTCTTTGGACTGTGGGAGGAAACTGGAACATCTGGAAGAAACAGGGGGAGACATTATTTTTTGGTAGAAAGAAATAAAAAAACTAATGACTTCCATGACTGTAAATATTGTATGTATAAGTATGACATCTGTCCAAAAGTTTTGCATATCTATTTTTTATTTTTATTTTAGAGAATGGATAAAATAATTTTAAATAAAGATAACATAGCAAACAATCATTGTATAATACAAATTTACACATTAAAATTTAGCCTTTCTCTTCCCTTTATATTTTACAGTTATTTTACTTCTAATCGAACTATATACAGTACATTCACAATAAGGAAAATGCGTATGTTTTGTTTATGATTTATGAAGAGGGGGGAAAAGTATGTACTGTACATACATATTCTTAATTTTAGTTTCAGTTATTCTGTATCTCAACAAACTCAGACTTTAAAGGCTCAATGTACTGTACTTAACCCAATATTTGACAATTTGTGAATCTGTAATTTAAGTGATTTTTTATGTAAATTTCATTTATTTTTTTAAGACGACCTTTCATTGCTGGCAAATGTGGGGTGTTGCGTATATATTTCTAAATACATGATGCTCAAAATTATTCACACTCCAGCAATTTGCATGTTGTGAAACCTCCTTTGGCTTTGACAAGCTTGAAGAATTGTTTCTAACTGATACTGTCCAAAAAGGTCAATTGCTATTTCAGTCAAGTACATGTGTGTGAGTCCAATAGTTAATTTTTGGCACAACCACACCTTTTGTTTTACTGTTGCCATGTGAAATTGCCACATACTTCAGATTCATGAGGTCACCCCTAGTAATCGTGAAGACTTTGTATCTTGAATATTCCATTTTTTTTCCCTTTAAGATTCCCAAATGTTGCCCTCGTGCAGTATCTCAGATGACTTTTCTGACTGCACATTTGGATTAGAAATTCTGCCATTCTTGTCCCAGTGGAGTAGGCCCAGGACGTCTTGATGATGATTTCCACAGTCCAAAACCATGTCTTATTGTATTATTGCTAACACCGCAGCTGTTGGGGTCAATCATCTTCACTGACCCTGTAATTTGCTCAGATTCAGCCATCTTTTATACCCAGTAGCTATGAAAGTGACATCCAGAATTTGTTTTTTTCCGAGGCTCAATGACACTACCAGATGAGTAGAAATTGTAATTCATTTAATTCACTGCATTTATGGTCACCATACAGTAGTGACAGGCTTTGAAGAAATGTCAATTGTGGATTTACATGTATATAATTTTTTAAGTTCTGCTTTTGATTAAATCAATACTCCCTTATAATACATTTTCAGCACATTTAATTCATTTTGAAAATATTAATGGACACCTGTGTCTTTTTGGGGAAATCCAGCTCTACGTTTTCTTATGAAAGGCACAGATACATTTTGAGGCCGCTCAACATTGGCACGTAATCTAGTAAACTGTCTGTGTAAGGATGTGCTTTAAGACCTGTGTATTTTTTATTTTTCTTTTAGGATTTAATACCTCTGCTATGGGAGTTGTTTTAATCTCCAGTTGAAAGATCACACGCACACTGTGAGGAGATTTATTCAACACACAGGACTTCCTGGTGCTTTTTTTTAGTGGTCATAAGAAGTTCCATCTCATATCGTCACCATCATTCCCACATTAGTCTCATTTCCAAGGCTTTATAATCTCCGTAGTAATTAACCCAAATTTTTAAAATTAATAAAGTGAAATGAGTAGGAGATTAAAGCAGGTCTAGACAAGAAATGGGGCAGCTTCTAAGGAGTTTGCAAAGTGGGAAATTTAAGAATGGTTATCAGAAGTAGGACAGATTCACACCTAGTGTGATAAAAGAATATTACCATCTTACTATAAAAGAATACCCACAGGCTCATTTTAATTGCTTTTGCCAATTGGGGCTAAATTAGGTGACCAGATGTTCGAAGTTTTTGAACCAGGACACAATGTAACATAACACAGACAATACATACTGTCATCTCTAGTATAGTACCGTATATACAGTAGCAAAATAGGAGGTCTGGTTACCTAGCTTTAAGTACTATTAAAATCTGACTACCTATACGTAAAACATGTACAGTTAAGTAGTAAGTTGAGGGTTTTATTGGTGCTGGGGACAATATCAATAAGAAATTTAGAAGAATAATTAAATCAACCCTGCTGTTATTCAGTAATGGCCAAGGTCCCCTTGAAATTCTACAGAAAGCCCTGATGAGATTTCAGTATCTAATTTGATAGAGTTGTGACCTCTTAAATGGAAATTATATATTTTTTGTGATCTACTGATGTATTTTAACGCTTTCTGCTGTTTTGCAAATGTTGAGAGTTGGAATCTTGAACCCTTTTGAAGTCAGACAATTTTCAATTTAGCCAACTTGCAGAGAATAGCCAGGCTTGGATCTGAGTTTTGGCAATTTCAGGCATTGTAATACTACTGTTTCAGGCAAATATTAGTCTCTTTACATCATTAGATAGGACTGTTTGGCCTCCATTTGATATGGCAGCCCTGCTATACAAGCACTAGTTTTATAATGTGAAAAACTAGGAGGAAGCAGTAGTAGTTCAGGATAAATAATAAAAGTGTTTTGCAAATTAGGGTATAAGAAGACCAGAAAAGTGGCAAATTATGCATTGGATTTGAAAAAGGGATTTGCAAGGAAAGATACTCTGAAGACACCTTCTATCTCACCTCTTCTGTGTCCACTGGAAGAGCTTTCCTGTATACATTTATTCCAGGATGTTAAAAACATTTCTCCAGGCACTGTTTGTATCTCCAGCACTGGCACGTATTACATAAAAGGCTGTTTCTTATGTAAGACAAGTAATTTTGCAGCAAGCTTTTCAGGTCAAATTTCACACCTTTTCAGATAAAGGGTATTAAGATTAAATCCGTCTGCTCATTACTCTAATTGATTGTTCATGGGAATAAGTTTCAGTAACGGATGAAGAGGGTGCTTTGTTTCACGTGAAAAAAAATCGAATGTAGAAAATTAATGTATTTCTGATTTATATTATTTGAATTACCACACATTCTCTGGAACATCAAACATCCTTATCCTAATGGTTAAATTCATCTCCTAATCCTAATTTATCCTAAATGGTTATACATTCATAGAAAAAAAGGGACCATTTAAATATCACTGAACGCAGTACTAAGATAGTTGTCTCTTTTAATTATAATTTAATAACATATTGTATACAGATGAGATTACATTTCAAGAAAAAAAAAACATTTTAATTGGACACTTCACCATTATTTATAACAGAAATATCCAAGGGCAAAAATCCACAGCAATCCTGGGATCCGCAGTAACACGGTTTTCTCATCCAACTCTCTGCACTGATGGTGTTTGGAGCCTGGCCATTCCCCAGGCTGTTTTTATATCTCCCCGAGTAATCAAACACAAGTTCCTCCCCTGATGCAATATCACGCCCGGCGAAGAGGGCCAGGCGGGGAACTAGAGAGTCCACCCGCACTGGCACCATGAACAAATTCGGTTGGCAAGAGTGGTTGAGGAACCTTCCCACATTCCCCACGCGAGCTGGGTCGACAAATGTTTCGATGGTTCCGCTGCCGCCTGTGTGTTCCTTAACAGCTATGATGTAATTCATATCTTCGGGTTTCTGGGAGGCTTGTCTTCTGCACGCTTCGGCGAAACCGATCACTTCCCCAGCGTATTCGCACACAAACCGTCCCTTCTGTATGGGCTCCAGTGTCCTCAGACCCCATCCTTTGGTGTGAGTCTGACACACCTCGAGTCTGAAGCCCAAGCCTCTTTGCACAACTCGATTTGCACAGTTCTCGCTGCATCTGCACATGACGTTACACTCAAACACCGGCCTGCTGTGTTCCTCGTTTTCTTCCTGGTCTCGGAGACGGAGGTTACCATCGTACATCTGCCCGTGCCTCTCCAGACACGTGCAGCTACCTGAGAGACAGGAAGTCGCAAGGCAGCCACACCCTGGAAAGGTCACTTCAGAGGGGTCAGTATCCGTGCCAGGCCCCGGAACCTGTTCTGGAGAATACTGCAAAACAACAACATTGGAGGAGTTAAAACTGAGGACTCTGTTGGTTAATTAGCAGGTTGCATCTGAGGATAATTACCCTTTTAACCTCATAGCTCTGTTCTCTGCTCTGTCTAGGCCTCGCTATTTATCTGAATCCTTTTGTAAAGATAAGAGCACTGCAAAAAGACTATTTCTCAGACCAAGGGTACCATGAATACAGTAACCAATAACAGGAAAAAAAATAATTTACGAAAGAAGCTTCACAGGGATTGAAAAATATTTTTTTTCTATCAAAATAAACTTTATTGCAAAGAAAACATCTCACAATAAGTACACGTGCTAACAAAATAACAAAAATTTAAAAAAAACTTTCCAAATGAGGTTAGCAAGTGGATGCAAGTGGTTAGCGATCATTGCAAGTAGATGACGGGGCCAGATTTGCAATGAGATAGTCCTTTCCAGCACTCCCTCGCTGTGGTTAAACGTATTTAAGCAAAGTAATAATGCTCATAGGGGAGCATGGTAGTGAAGTGGCAAGTACTGGGGCGTGGATTCAGTTCCAAACCTGGGGTGTTATATCTGTGTGGAGTTTGTATGTTCTTGTGTTCACGTGGGTTTTCCTAAGAATGGTTTGGTTTCTTACCACAGTCCAAAGACATACTGACAGGTTAACTGGTTTCTGGGATAACTGTCTCCCTCCTAGCTCCAGTCCCCTGTTTCTACTCAAACCCCATCCTGCTTCTTCTGCTGTTCCTCTAGGGGTCGTGCTACTCTCTTCAGCCCCTTCTAAAACCCTTTATCTCTCCAATCATCCCTCCCTCTGATGAAAAGACCAGCCTACAGACCTCCACAGTCCCCGACTACCTCCCAGTGCCTCCTCAGCACTCACCAGTTCTGACGGTACTAGTTGCACTAAGGAAGTCATGCATATGGAATCTGGAACCCCCTACTGTCGCACTAATTGTATTGTTTTGTCCAACATACTATCTGGTACACTTACACAGTACACTCCACTACCATATACTTAACCAGTTGTGCACTTGATTCCTTTTGATCTGAATTGTAATTACCCCATTACCAGGCACCTGCACGTATTCTGTTATACTTAACAGTAATTGTATGCTGATATATTTTAAGTTTATGATTTACTGTATTTTATTTAAACCCATTTTGTTTATACACTTACTATATCATTTTATACAACTGAAAATCAACATGGATAAGGATAAGGACTCCTGCTGAGCAAATCACAATTAGTTGCATATGCATACATGAAATGCAGCCTAAACTGTAATATGGCATTGGTCAATGATTACATTTAGCCAAATGTCAGTGTCAGCATATTGCTCGAGCCAGAGTTTGTTCCAGCAAGCACTGGGTGCAAGGCAGGGGAACACTCTGGACTGGATTCCAGACGCAGACGTTAACACCGACATGCACACACTCACACCAGGGTTGATTTGCTCAGAAGAAAATTAACCTTTTGTTTTTGGACTGTGAGAGGAAACCGGAACACCCAAAGGAAACCCACGTGAACATGGGGATAACATACAGACTGCAGGCAGATATCGCCCCAAGCCCAGAATTGAACCCAGCGCCTCAATGCTATGTGGCACCACTACAGCGCCCTCTTAACTCTTTCATAAAAGTTAAATTATCACAGCAAAATCTGCACAATTTTTGAAAGCCTATTCAGAAAGGAAAATGTTCGTGTTGGCCGTAAGCAATAGCATCACATTTATGGATCAACATCCATTCAAAACAAGACTGCAAACTGCTAGAGACCTAATGCAACTCTCTCCTCCTGCCCTGTTTTCCATTCCTTCTCATACACATCACTATGCCTGCTATATGATATGTATCTTAAGGATGGCCAGTCTGCTTATTCAAAACAGAGTGGTGCAACTGCTTAAATGCAGTTTATTGACTCCAGTTAGTCCTTGCACATAAATGGCTCAATCTCGCATGACTCCTGCTTTTGCAGAACAGTGATAATCCCACATGCTGATTGGCTGTCTGGTAGACTGTCCTCACTAGTTAACCAGTTTTACACCCTGTTCAACATGCAGGTACGGCACACTGTATATATTGTACCTGAAGTCTACACCTCCACCGAAGAGTTTTATTTGAACCTCCACCCTATCCACATTGATAAAACTACGACAGCACCTAATATCCCCATGGTACCCAGCCTGACGTCAGATAAGGTTAATCAGTGGCTATTAAAAGATTAGAATTGCAGGGGAACTGATGTGGGCTGAAAGAGGGAACACAGTTTGACCAACAGATGTGTTGCTTGGGTAAGGTCATAAGCAGGTTTAAGGCAGTATTTTACTGATGGGCAGCTCATTCGAGCGTAACTTGTAAATGTCAACGAACCAGAAAGCCATTTCATTGTGATAAAAACAGATCCACTCATACCATATTTACTATCATGTTCAGTCTTAAGCTCTTCAACTGTGATCTCAGCAAAGCAAACTCCAAGGCTCACAAAGAATAAGCAGTTCAAGAAAGTTCCACATTCAGTCAGATCAGATAACAAACTTTTTTCTGATCAACCTTTATGTGTTTTTTTCTTTAATAATTTGATTTAAAAAAAAATCCAATACAATGGGAATAAAACAAGCATGTTTCAGCAGACAGGTCCTAGTCAGGGTACTGATGAAAGATAAAAATACCAGAAGTAACAACTGTATCTCATGCAGTGCCTCAAGTGCAGTATTTACTGCTGTGCAAGACTAATGGAAACAAAAAAATATAACTATGAGGAAGGATGAATAAAATCCATAAACAATTTCTAATATACAAAAATAAAATAAACAACTTGTGCCATTCTCTGGACATAGTTGAAACTCTTTTAAAATACTATATAACTGGTCGAAAAGGACCAAAACATGAAGTTAGAGAGGATGATTATTAATTATCTGAACTATAAAGGAGCAGATTTCAAAAGCACATCTTTGTTACCTTATTACCCGTCTAAAAACGTTTTGAACAAATTAAGATCGTAGCGCCATCTACTGACATTATCTGTGAAATGCTTGCTTTGCAACAACTGGTTTCAAGATTCATTAAATCAGATATTCCCATACAGTACACGACATTTTCTTTGTATTAACACACAGCAAATATCCGCACATGAAATAAACTTTGGGATTCTAAGAAAACTTTCATATTCTCTTTCTATAAATAATACGAGATATACAGTACTCAAAGCATATAGCGTGACAAATGATGGAACGATTTATTGTATTCTAATATATTCGAATTTATTATACATGCAGAAGAGCTTGCTTTAGATAGCGATATTTTTTTTGCTTGTCTCATACTAGGGGAAACACAATGCGTTATTCTGCAAAATGTATATCTGTTTTACCGACGTCTATTTTGTTCGATTACACGAGCTCTTGCTTTAGCATCTGAATTTTCTCATTTGTATTTCCAAAAACATACATATATAACCACGACAGAATGTTAGTAGCCTTGTGAATAGGAGTCTCAATGCCATCTTCTAAATTACCTGAAACTGGGGCAAATCCTCTTTATTGATTTTGTTTTCAACAAAGACTGGCAGGTTCTCCAGACCACAGCACACATCATATTCGGAATTCCAGCTCATTTGTAATCTGTAACCCAATTTACTTTAAATGTATATTGAGACAAGACTCGTTTCAGAAGTTCTTACGCCCCATCTTTAAACGTGAACTAAGGGATAAGGGCAGAACTTCCGGGAGGTCTGTTTCCTAAACAAGAGACATTACCAATGAGAGCGAAGAAGCACAGGATAGTCCAGCCCATGATTCCGTTTGCTTTTCTAAAATGTGGTTTGTAGGCGTCTTTGTATGAGCTCTTTGAACGAGAGGAGTTAGTGTGATACAGCGCGTCTAAACAGAAAAATGACTGACAACCAGAACGATTTGGGACATTTCTATAGAAAGTCTTGGGTTATTTTCACAAATATTGTTCGTGTGGGAAATGAGCAAATCGCTTGCACTTTGAACCCATGGTGTAGATTAAACAAGAGTTACTTGATAGTTTATTATAGTAACTACCATGCTCTTTTCGACAATCTTTTCTTGATAGCTAAGTACGGTGGCCGAGAGAACTGCAATTAATAACTTCCCCCACACACCTGTTGGTCCCTCTTAATAGGAGTCCAATTTGTGATATTGTTAGAGCTTTAGCTCGCTTGTACGTTTTTTTAATTACATTTATCTTTTTATTTTCGTTTTATACCTGTGCATCATTAACCAAAAATGTTACCTTTTATAATGGTTAAACTTACACGTCACTTTTAAGAGCTCTTTTGCATTCATAGAGATGCGGTTTTTTAAATTGCTGTTTACATAAATATATACGTTTGGAGTGACTCTCTAATGGAAATTATTTGATTAATTCCTGCAATACAAGCATACAAGTGTGTGTGTCTGTCCGTCCCATGATGGATTGGTATCCCATAAAGGGGCTACCCTGCCTCGAGTCCTTTGCATGCATCAGGCTGTATATAGTCCCATGTGACACTGAATTAGACGAAGCGATTAGAAAATGGGTGGAGGAAATGAATGTTATGTGTCTGTAGCAAGGGTGGGGTTATCTCATTTAGGGGAGCCACATTTTTCAAATTCTCACGAGGAAATCACTGAATTGGCTGCACCTGGAGTCTCTGGCTTCCTTTAAATGCAGTTCGTGAGGCAGTCGGTGCTTGTTTTTTCACAGATCCTGATGGTTAAGGAAAACATTAAAGCATTTCAAAACAGGATTTGGGGCAGAGGTTTTTATCAGGTACTAGAAATCAGAAAAAAGACTATAAAGGATTAATATGGGTAGCAGCCTCGGTCGCTTTCCGGGTCGGGACGCCGGTAAATAAGAAGACGGTTAATGAGCGCCCCCGGCCAACCAGAATCGACCGAGCGAGGTTCTTGCCACTGCTATCTGGGGAAAGATACGGTTACGGTTCATGTGGAAACCATTTTCCATGCTATCAAAAAAATCTTGCACATTGTCATTAAATAGTGTATTAGCTTTGGAAAGGCAGAGTGTGACACTTAGTCCATTATACAGTAGATGTAGTAGGTTCACAAGACTTTGTACTCCTGAGTGTGAGGTCACAGGGCGAAGTACTAGAAAGTCAATGGAGAGAGAAAGCTGTCATAATTTCTTTAATACTACCAGGTCCCATTGTCATGGAAGATTAAGCTGTTCTTTTAAAGATTAGTGAATTCTGTATTTTGTCCTGGAAAAATATGTAATTTCCTTTGTTCAAACAACATAAAGGAAGTGTTGGACAACAGCTGTAAAAATGTTAAGGTGACTGTTATTCATTTAACTTAAAGTTCTTAACTGTTACAGTCGCACAAACCCACCAAAAGATGCAAAAAGGAAGAAAAAATGTTTCATTTTGTCCTGGAGTCCCTGCACTGGCTTCCTTTCAGGCTCCAAGTTAAATTCAAAATCCTCATGCTCACCTGAAAGGCTCGGCATGGCTTGGCACCTCAGTGCCTATTTCACTTATTTTCCTCCTCGTACCCGCCTCGCAGTCCTCGTTTGTTTGTTTGTCCCCCAAGCTTGCTTACACCCTGTCAGGGTTTTCTCTTGATTAAAAACTTTGGGAGTTGTATCCCGAGGATATCAGGGAGTCAACTACCCTGAGCACAGACATTTCCAATTTCTGTTTGTGTGCTGATTTTATCATCTCCTATCTTTGTTACTATTTTTGTGTTTTTTTAATGGTTTTTAGTTTTACTGTAAATTGCTTTGAGTATTCTAAAGTACTGCCTATTATTAAATGCTACATTAATCTAAACAAAATAACCTAAAGGGTTTGACACATTTTGTTGCTGGTAAGCAAAACAACTGAGAATGAGTTAAAAAAATTGATGCCTGTTATTTTAGAATCAAAGTTTTTAAGGGTCTGTTTTTTTTCTGGGCAATCGTACAGCTATAGAAACGAATGCTATAGGTGGATACAAATAAACATCAATTTTCTTCTCTAATAGAAACAAAAACAAAAGATATCAAACTATACTTTGTATATACTTGTAAATTAAAATTTTCTACACTTAAACTATCTTTCTGAAATCTTAGAATTTTATAATGTGTGGGAGATTCCACCTAGTCAAAGTTGAGTACTGTTTGTCAAATTTCAGGTTCAGTACTTTCTAAATAATTTTCTTTGGATAGCAACCATTACCCCAGGCAGACAAAACACCTTGAAGTAGTAGGTTTCTTATTGGCCTCTAGGGAAATTTGGCTGTGGTGTGAATGTGTGCATGTTTGTCTGTGCATGCCCTGCAATGGACTAGCATCCTGTCTGGGGTGTATCCTGCGTTGTGCCCATTGCTTGCTGGGATAGGCTTATCCATGGCCCTGAATTGGATAACACAATGAGAAAATGAATTGATTAATGGAAGTACCAATTATTGATATATTAAGTCCATTAAAATTGTCCTGAAATGTGTTCTAATAAGAGCCATTCTATTTATTATATTTTTTTTAAGGATCGGGAAGACGTGGTTGAAACCTGTGATTAGAAGTGCTTAAATCTGACAATTCTCTGTGATCTCTGCAAAAGAAAGCATGATTTTTGTCATACTGTACAGTATATGCATGACAGGGGAAACAATTCTCACATTTGTCAACAGGGGGCACTGATACACCATAGTCAAGATGGTCCACGATAACCAAGGTCTTGTTCATAAATTAACCCCTCCTGAAACATATGATACACAAATATTGGAGTGTAAAATGTGTTTGGTTTATGCTACAGAAAACATTTTTTTGTATCCTTGGTATTTTCTTGTTTTGTGTTCAGATGAATCCATCCATTTTGTAACCACTTTATTCAGCCTGTCCAGGCAAGTGCAAGGCAGTATACACCCTAGAGAGGGTGCTAGACCATCTTGGGGCACACAATCACTCACACCAGGACCAATTTTCCTAGAAGTCAGTGAACCTACCAGTATAGCTTTATACTATACTATGAATGTATAAGAATACAAACCCCATGCATACTGTATACTACAACAGGATTTGTACACATGGCCCTAGTGCTGCAAGGCAGCACTGTTAAGCACTGTGCTACCATGCCACCTGTAAATCTTTTTGTAAATTCTGGTAGCATCATAATACTTAATTTAACACTCATTTCTGCACATTCACAACTGTTCTGTATGAAACAAAATTTAGACATCACAAGTAAACCTGTTTAGTGCTGCTAATAAGTCACCACAAACATCTGTTAAAATACAGACTGTAAAGCACCAGATAGCATAAGTATTTCCAAAACACTGAACGCAGGTGTACATCTCATGGGCAAGCTGCTAGCTCGACCTTTGTAATAAATAGACTGCAGAGCAATGACACTGTGTGTGTGATTGTCAGAAATGAGATTGAGAAAATTTCAATCTGTTTCCGTTTGTAAAAAAAGGTATCAACATGAGTGTCCTTGGAGATTACGGTGGAGATACAGTACTTGATGCTGGATATGACTGTAGAGGTGACACCACTGTCCCATTAGTGACATCACATAACATTGAACTGCTTTTGCAGTTGTAGTGGCGATCCATCTGTTTGTACTGTAAATCCACCAGGGGTATATCATACTGCTGGAGTAAAGAAAAAAAGATGATATGAAATCCAGATTTTTTCACATTTAAAAAAAAATGAAATAAAGAAAAAAGACCTGAGGCTAACAAAGTCTGTGCTGCGGAATGGTCAGTTAAAGCTGTAAAACCTTCGTGAATCACCAGTGAGGTGTCTGATTACAGTACACTGGCTGTAGAATCTCCATTTTACAGCTTAAACGTTTATCTCTTGAAGAAGCCTCTTGGTTTCCTGGGTAGGCTGATCTTAAGGAGCTGCTCTTACATTTACTGTAAGTTCAACTTCAGGCTAAATGACACTTAAGATAGTGGAGTTGAGTAAATCACGACCCTAGAGCTCTTTTGGGGCTTTGTTTTAAGTCACAGAAAACGAGGGAACCTTCTTGCTAAAAGATTCTTAAAGGGAAAGGGAGATTAATTCCCTTTTTGATTTACCAGAGGTTGGATTTAAAAAAACTGCACTCAGATGCTGTCAGCGGAAATGAGATCCCTTAATTTCCCTTTATTAACTACATGTATATCCATATTTATTCTATATTTCCATTTTTTTCAAAATGGTAGTTTTAGAGTACGATAACAGACATTTTACTGAACACATCTACCATGAATAAAATGGTATACACTAATATAGTTCCCTCTGCTTACTCTATTATATGCAGTATACGATATAGTAATATGTACTTGGGACTTTCTTGGGCTTATTGACTGTAATGAGAGGCTAACTTTAAAGAAAATATCGTTAAATCCACTACTTGCCATTAAGAACGCAAAACTCCGACTGTATTAAAATCAATAAACTTAGAGGTTAGATGTTTTTGCTGAAATGCAGAGTCTTGAAGAAAAAAAACAGCTGTGGCGACGTAATTATGCGCTGTTTCTGTTATCTCAGCTTGTGCGCTTGCAGATTATGTTGCCTGGTTCTGCTGTGAGCCCACACCTTTGCCACTGAGGCTGTTTGAAATAAGGTTTTGAAACTAGCAGATGGATAAAGGTCATATTGCTGGGATAGATTCCCAGAGCTGGCTGGCATTTTCAAGCCATTTGTCATAACAACAGCACCTTCCCTGTCTGTCAGCCATCACGACGCAGTAATTTTCTAGAAAGAGTAAA